CCCCCACAAAAAAAATCAACAATTATTATTATTAAATATTTATAAAATAGAATTTATATCCTATTAAATAATACCTGGACATTTCTTGATAAAATTTAACCATTAAGATGTGTGATTTTAACATCCGGTTAATTTACTGTTAGATGACATTTCCTGCTACAATAATTTTCAGGAAATGCCCCCCCCCCCCATAAGGCATTTGCTGTATAGTTAGTAAACATAGTATATTAAGACATTGTGATTCAGTATGTGTAGCATTACCTCAATGTCCTGTTTGCTTTCTGACTCTCACAGTTCCCGACCCTGCTGAATGGGCCGCTCCCAGTACCCCTCCCCAACCTGGACTCCTCTTCATCCTCCTCCTCCTCCTCCTCTCTCCTCCTCTCCTCCAGCGCCCAGAAATCCTGATTTCTGGACACTCCACATATCCCCTCCCCAGAATCATACCTTTGCTCTCACACTAAGAAGGAATTATGGACCTTCATGTCATTTTTGAGCCAGACTGCACTTCACCCCCTTGTGGCCACCTATAGCACCCTTCAGTTCTGTTGAATTTTGGACCAGCAAACTGTTTTCTTCTTTAACTCGGGCTGCAATCCAAACAGCTCACCAAAATTCCTCCGCAAGCTCTTAAAATAGGGAATTATGATGAGGTAATGCCAAAGAACGTGAAGTGTCCTTTTGAGAAGATGGTGAGTCACTGGAAACAGAGCCTTAGAGAATCTGTATCCTGGAGAAAGTGGCAAGTTATTTTTCATAATCTCAATTTCAGATCGAAACAAACGATGCTGCACGACGTAAACGCGTTTAAAACAGCGTCGACTTTCTCAGCGTTCCCTACTGTTCTCCATTCCTGAGGTGCTTCAACTGGAGAGATCTCGACCAGTTCAGAGAAGACATGTTTAAACCATATTAAAGGAATCTCGTTAGCATTTAAGTCTCTTTTGAATCTTCCCGAGGCTGTGAACCGGGTTTCTGTTCGTTTGTTGTTTGTCTGGTATTGTATTGTATTGTATAATATTGCGTTGTATGCACTGTGCTTCAAATGTACTACCGGCTGTGCCTTTTTTGTGTAAGAATTGTGTATTTGTATTATGTTCCTGCTTAAATACGTTTTTGTAATAGACGAAATTCCATTGCAATATTGGAAAGACAAGCTTTGTAATAGCTTCCGGTTTTTTTCATTAATGAATTGATTTTTAAAAAAAAGTGTATTCTCGTATTAATTTGATATTCTTTGCTTTTCAAGAATCAAGACAATGTGCCTTGTGTTTTTAAAATAAAATAAAAACAAGCGTTGAATGCGACGCAACGCTCTCGCGTCTGAACGGACACCTTGCATTTGTAGATGAAATGTACACAGACACACACACAAATATAATAAACAGACGACAGAGAGTTCGCTATATGAAACAGACCATGTTTACTTCACTGATTAAGAGAAATAAATATCTGCAGTACAAAGAGTTAAACGGTCAATTCAACCGACAGTTGGGACTGAGAGCGTCAGTGTTCCACGGAGGCGGAGCTTACAGGACACCACGCACTCCATGCGTCACGTATACACACGCAGTCACGCACACACTCACGCACGCACGCATCTCCAGAAACAATCGACTCCGATTTGACAATATTAATTAACATCTGTCAGTAAAAAAAAAAACAGTCATCTAAAATCTGTTTGATATCTTCTGCGTTCTTCAGGTTTATAAATGCTGGGGAAAAGAAACATTGGTCCAACGCTGCTGTCCTTTTTTTGTTGTTGTTGTTGTTACCTTTTTTCTTTTATACACACAATATCGTTTTCTCTTCTGAATAAAATCAAGCACAAATGTGGGACAGTCGGACTCCAACATGCCACATTAAGATACCATTATTCACAGAAGGGTCAATATGTAACATTGAAAAAAAAAACTCTCTTAATACTGTTAGTGAAACTAGCTCATCTTCATAGCCATTGCTTGCATGGAGCCTTTAAATGGCTCTGTACAGTTACAGAACTCCACTTTCACACATACAACCTCACTTTCTCGCTCTTTTACAAGAGTCGCATACACTCGTAAGCTACAGAGGAGCTCTATTAATAGAAGAAACTGGTTTTGATGATGCATCAGGAGCTCTAAAGGTCAAAGAAAGAATTAAAAACATCTGGCATACAAGCACTTCAGTTCCAATAGGATCACTCTGAATGAATGCAAAAGGAGAGATGGTCCGGTTCTCAGTTCAAAACGGTGAGGTCACAAAGTTCCTGCTGGTCCAGTGTTTGTTTTTTCCACCCTCATTCTGCAAGTCCACCTGGTCGAGATGGTCCCTGGTTCACGTGACGCGGCCTTTGAGGAACAAATCCACTCTTTTTCTTGAAATGATACTTTAAAATTGGAGGTTTTGGAATGAATGTTTTGAATCTGTCGCTCGGTTTGAAGCGCAATCGCCATGCCAGAAAACCAAAAGCCAAACACTCAAAACACTCGTATAAGCATTCCACCTCTGTAAATCCAACACAATGACAAACCGACAGCTGCGATCCCAACATTTTTTTTCAACAGAATTATAATCGTTCTTTTAAAACAAAACAAAAACGTGGGACTGATGGGTCCACGAGGGTTGCCCCGAGAGTGAGGAAGTTACGTAGAGACAGTAGTCAATTAGCAGCAAAACAACCCCTCCGTCAATAAATATATACACGTTCACACGCTCGCACACCCTAAGCGTCACATAGGGGACGGGGAAGGTGCATCCAGACAAGGGGCCGATGGGCGCTCTGGCTCAAGACTGCATGCTGGATGGCGGGACACTGGGGGAAGGAGGGGGGGGCTTGGGGTTGGTGACAGCGGGTTCGGCCAATCCCCTTCACCACGCATGCACACGCAACAAACACCCCTCTCTCTGTGAGCGAGGGGGGACTAAGTCTGTTAGTCTATACAACACAGTCACGGAGTAAGAGCTGTCGAACTGATCCGTCAAGTGTGTGTGTGTGTTTGTGTTTGTGTGCTTGTGTGAGAGAGTGAGAGCGATGGGCAACAGTGTGAGGGAACGCAGCTTAAAACAGCATGCTCTGCCGTCTGTTCTTGCTGTTGCCTGTGAGGAGAGAGACAGAAGGATGAGAGTGAAAAGGAGCAGAGAACAAGGTGTACAAGGTTACAAAATGTGTCTTATAAAGATTCATTTTAAATATTCAGTTAAGAAATTAATTCGCTTTATATAGAGGAGAGAACACGGTGCACAAGTTTACAAAATAATTTTTACAAATGACAATTAATTAAAAATATATATTTAGTTATAAAAGTATGCTATGATGCAAATATGTTATTTATATTTTTGTTATAATTGTAAATATTTCTTTAGTTATAAAATATATTAGTAATATTACTATGGGAGAGAACAAAGTGTGCAAGGTTACAAAATAATTCAAATATTTTAAATATATAATTCATTTCAAATACATATTTAGTTATAAAATAATTTTGTTATATTATTAGAGGACAGACCACGGTTGTGCAAACAAACAAAAATAATCCTTTTTTAGCTTTTTTTAAAAATTAATTTTAAAAGGTACACTATGTAACTTTTTTTTTTAAATTTACAAAACTGATATAATGAGCGAGTACATCAAGAATCCAAAAAGGTCCCATTATTATTATAGTATTTTATATATAATTTAGAAAATATATTTAGTTATTACACACTAATTACATTAATATATAAGAGCACAAAGGGTTAGAGGTTAAAAAATTCATTAAAAATATTAAAAATGTTATTATGTATAAAATGTATTACATTTTAGGACATTTATTTTTATTTTGTTATAAATTTAAATAATATATTTATAAAAACATTTTGACATTTTTATTCAATATTATGAAATATAAACTTTTATAATATTATTTTATAATATTTTTTAAAATATTTAATTTGAAATATAACATTAATTATATATGATTTATAAACCATATTATAAATCAAAGAAATAGAAATGTCACTTATTTTACATAATATTTAACATTTATTAATTTTTTAAAAATTGACCTTTTTTTTTTCTCGAGACAATGCATTAACAAATCCATTGACAGTGCTATTAAAATATGCTGTCATGATTTTGTTGGCATATAACACTTCTGTTAATCCACCAGGTCACGGGTATCAGTTAACCTTAAACCATTTTTTAAAATAATGTAGAATTAATCATTTTAAATAATTGCCCAAATCTAAATACAATCACATTAACCAACCTGTTCAATAGCTATTGGTCTACACGATCATTGCCACCTAGTGTCAGTTCCCAAAACTACTGACACAACTGACACTGACCCATACTGACTGATTACTATAAGAGTATCTGAACATAAATGCATGTATAAAACAAACACACACCTGTCTCTGGGTACGAGGAGTTCCGGTAACCGGGGTCCCTCTGAAGCTGCACTTCCTTCAGTGTAAATATGGATATGTCTGCACAAGCACAGCATATCATGAGAATGAGGACATATGAGCGATTATGTGGTGTGTGTGTGTGTGTATATGTGTATGTGTGTGTGTGTAAAGACACTCACTTTCTGGCAGTGTGTGCACACGCATGCCCAGACTCTTGAAGTAGGAGTGTTTCATTGATTCATCTGCAGAGATCCTCTTCTTGGACTCATACTATGGAGAAAAAAATAAATAAAGGATGAAAGCCTTGTTAGATTGATAAAGGGTAGTTTAAGTTATCATAATGCTTTAAAAGGGTTAATGGAAAATAAAAGTGTGCCAAGATAAAGAGATGGAAAATAATTTACAATTGTTTGTGTGTGTATTTAATGCAATCCATTGTTCTGGCACATTCTTACCCTTAGAAAGGACAATAACAGCTCTATTCCTTCAGTATCCAACCTGTAGATGGGAAGGGAGGAGAGTGAGAGAGATGTGACCATCGGCAGGTTGACAAATTAGACTGGCAAACGTAAGGAAGGAAGCAAACGGCCTCAGAAATTCCACAGGATATCCTGCTTTACTGGCACGCACATGGCTTTCTAACATACACCAGGAGACACACACACACTTTCCCAGAGCAGCATACACACACACACACACACACAGGCTTTAAGGTCATGGTCATTTGCTCTGTGTGGCAAGACAAACACACTGAAGCCACCGCACAGACACGGAGCACACAGACTCATAACAAACACACACTGCATGAAACAGCAAAGCAGCAGCTGGAGAGACACACAGATAGAGATCAGGTACCTGGGCGCATGATTGATGAACGGCTGAGGCTTGTATTTGGGGAAGTTGTAGGATTTGAACTCTTCGATGGATGAGATGCTGGGCCAGTTGTCCTCTGTAGGTGTACCTGTTTCACACAAAGCCAAAACATCCATTCAACACTTTATACTTTAAAACCTGTCTACGTTTAGCACATAGCTAACATTTTCTAAACAGAGCTGATACATTTTGGATTTTACAGGACTTAAATTCGCGGATCCCCTTTGATCATGATCTTTCTGTATTTACTTCAGTATATATAAATTCTAAAATGTACAATTTCTTTTGTAATATATATATATATATATATATATATATATATATATATATATATATATATATATATATATATATATATATATATATATAATAAAATTATATTGAGTATATTTAAAATAACATGCTAAACTACTTAAACTCATGAATTAAAAACATGTTTATCATGGAAGAGGTGTAGTACAGTATGTATAAATTTACATTTTAAATTTACTTAATGTTAATATTTTAAATAATTGTATAGATATTGCAAAAGAGCTAATCTCTAGCAAAATAAATCTGTGATAATGAGGGAAAAATGTAAAAGAAATTTCCATAAATGTTTATGTTCTTAAGGATTTCCACAACTTTACCACGACTTAATACAACTCTTTTTATAAATTATTTAGAGTTCTCTATTTCCAAGCAGTTGGAAAGTCCACAAATTGCTTGAAATATGATTTACATTTATGCATTTAACAGATGCTTATTTAAAACAACTTGCACTGCATTGAATACCTTTTTTAAAAAATGTTTTACCTTTTTTAATCAGTTCATGCTTTCCCTGGGAATCGAACCCATGACCTTGGCATTGTTAGAAGCATGCAGTACTGTTTGGGCTACAGTTTAAAAAAACTGAATATAGCTTAAAAATAGCTTAAAACCTCCTTTCCAGGTCTTTTTCTGAGATATTTCCACACTCCAGAATGCACAGTTAAACACATCAGGTGAGTGTCAGCAGGACAGGATTTCAACTGAACTGTGGTAACCTACCATGTGATCTCACTGTTTCCATGCACAAGCATGTGTTTGTGTGTGTGTGTGTGTGTGTGTGTGTGTGTGTGTGTGTGTGTGTGTGTGTGTGTGTGTGTGTGTGTGTGTGTGTGTGAGAGAGTGTGAGTGTGGACAGCAAGCATGGCAGCTCAGATGGTTGCAGTTTGCTTTTAAAGCAGGTGAGAAGCACTTCTGAGACTGAACACCATGACACATCTGGTGTGAGAGTGTGGGTGTTTAGTGTCGTAATGTCTGGAGTTGAAGTGTGTGTTTCATCACACAGGCTCTGAATTGAATCATTTAGTTGGAGAGCTGGGCGTGAGTGTGTGCGTGCGTGGGTGTGTGTGTGTTCGCTCACCCAGTAACCTGAAGATTAGATGCAGCTCATCTTCAACGGTGGATCCTGGGAACAGCGGCCGACCTGCAGCCATTTCATAAAATATACAT